TGACTACAGCGTGCTGACAACAGCGTGCTAACTACTGCGTGTTAACTACTGCATGTTAACAACAGCGTGTTAACTACTGCGTGTTAACAACGGCGTGTTAACTACGGCGTGTTGACAACAGCGTGTTGACTACAGCGTGCTGACAACAGCGTGCTAACTACTGCGTGTTAACTACTGCGTGTTAACAACAGCATGTTAACTACGGCGTGTTAACAACAGCGTGTTAACTACGGCGTGCTAACAACAGCGTGTTAACTACAGCATGCTGACAACAGTGTGCTAACTACTGCGTGTTAACTACAGCGTGTTAGCAACAGCGTGCTAACTACTGCGTGCTAACAACAGCGTGCTAACAACAGTGTGCGTAAGCACAGTAACTGTCGGAGCCAAAATGCTTAGTAAGCCTGTATTAATTGTTTCATTATTCTCATAATAATAAATATTCCTCCTCCTCTTCGTCCTCCTCTTCCTCTTCCTCTTCCTCCCAGCAGACTCTAAAGATGGCCGCTCTTAATTGATTCCAGGTTTCTGGTCTATGATTAGAGACTCATTAGAGCTCGTTAACACCTCGTTAACCTTTCTAATTATACACACACCTCTGACACTGCAGTACAAATACACACCTCTAACACTGCAATACAAATACACACCTCTAACACTGCAGTACAAATACACACCTCTAATACTGCAGTACAAATACACACCTCTAATACTGCAGTACAAATACACACCTCTAATACTGCAATACAAATACACACCTCTAACACTGCAGTACAAATACACACCTCTAATACTGCAGTACAAATACACACCTCTAATACTGCAGTACAAATACAAACCTCTAATACTGCAGTACAAATACACACCTCTAATACTGCAGTACAAATACACACCTCCAACACTGCAGTACAAATACACACCTCTAATACTGCAGTACAAATACACACCTCTAACACTGCAGTACAAATACACACCTCCAACACTGCAGTACAAATACACACCTCTAATACTGCAGTACAAATACACACCTCCAACACTGCAGTACAAATACACACCTCTAATACTGCAGTACAAATACACACTTCTAATACTGCAGTACAAATACACACCTCTAATACTGCAGTACAAATACACACCTCTAACACTGCAGTACAAATACACACCTCTAACACTGCAGTACAAATACACACCTCTAACACTGCAGTACAAATACACACCTCTAATACTGCAGTACAAATACACACCTCTAATACTGCAGTACAAATACACACCTCTAATACTGCAGTACAAATACACACCTCTAATACAGCAGTACAAATACACACCTCCAACACTGCAGTACAAATACACACCTCTAATACTGCAGTACAAATACACACCTCTAATACTGCAGTACAAATACACACCTCTAATACTGCAGTACAAATACACACCTCTAATACTGCAGTACACATACACACCTCTAATACTGCAGTACAAATACACACCTCTAACACTGCAGTACAAATACACACCTCTAACACTGCAGTACAAATACACACCTCTAATACTGCAGTACAAATACACACCTCTAATACTGCAGTACAAATACACACCTCTAACACTGCAGGACTCCTTTGTTTACTTTCTGAACATAGTGACATCACTACGGAGCACTCCAGAAAGGTTCCACGTCTCTGATCTCAGTAACATCTGGATTTAAAATATTATATGTATATAAGTATAAGTATAAGTATAAGTATATGGTTGACCTCCAGCAGCAGATATCATGTAAACATAAACTCATGGTGTTACGTTAAATATCCTCCCCTGGTGTTACGTTTAATATCCTCCCCTGGTGTTTTCATCTCCACAACAACCCGATTCAGAGCCTCAAACGATGATGGATGATCAGACGGAGCGTCTCACGGTCCGAGGATCTGCTTCTTCAAACCGAATTGATTTGACTTTTGGTCGGACGAATCCAGACATTTGAAGACCAGGTCCGCTCGGACATGTTCACTCTCTGCTGAAGAGTTATAGACATGATCAGAGGTGGGAAGTAGTGGAGTACAAATACTTCGTTACTCTAAGGATGTGTGTACTTTTCTCTGGACATCATGATGATGTAAACACAGCGGCAGCTTTGGGACCGACCTCCCTCTCTGCGGCAGAAACAGGAAATGCCGTAACGTAGGGCTGTGCAATTAATCGTATTTTAATCGCAATTACGATTTTGGCCTGCCACAACTACGAAAACAACATAATCGAAAAAAACAATTATTTTGCTTTGCTAGGTTGTGACCGTGCACTGCAACATATTTGATCAATTAATTTTGGTCTCATTTATTTGTATTTATCATATTTATATATGTTTAGTAGCTTGGGGAAGTGCACTCCAAAATATTTGTTGATCTTGTTTATTGGTATTTATTATTTTTGATATTATTTATTTAAATGTAAATATAAATGTATCATTTATTTCATTTATTTTTGTATTGGTTTTTCAGTTGAATTCTACGTTCAGGGAAATCAACAGTTAAAAAGATACTGTTCAAATTATTATTTGTATTTGTTTTAAAGTTCAATAAATGGATGTTTTCAAAGTCAATGAATAATCGTATTTAATAATCGTGATATCAATTATTGACCCAAATAATCGTGATTATGATTTTTGCCATAATCGCACAGCCCTGCCGTAACGTTTCAAATCAGCTTCTCATGGACAAAAAATAATAAATAATAATAATGGAAAAGATAATCCTGAATAATAATAATACATTTCATTTATATCGCACACTTTAAAAACAACGTCCTCTCAAGGTGCTTCACAATGCTATGAGGAGAAAATACAAGATCAAAGATAAAGTTATCTAAGGAGCATATTGAATAAAGTATGGTAATATGAAAAAGGTTAAGAGCTTCTAAACGTCTCGTGTCTCTTCTGGTTTACACGAAACAATCAAACTCACGTTCACCGCCTTCGAGACGAGCGCTCGGTGACGCTCAGGATCATAAAGCTGGACAGCTGTCTCTGTCGTTGGAAACTGAAATGTTTTCTGGTCTTATTTGAACAATGTGGTCACATGACTGTAAGCTGTAAGCTAGCTAGCTAACGTAGCTAACCTCGTCATTACTTTTTACTACGTCAGGTTTAATTGGAATAAAGGTTTTCCTCCTTTGTGTAGAAACGACAGAATAAGATGTTTATAGTTTCTGCTTTCTCTGTCATATGATATTAAAGTGAATATCATTAGCCGCTTTCACACAAAGTACTTTGCCGTACTTAGTACCCCGGCACTTAGTACCCCAGGGCACTAAGTACCCCAGGGCACTAAGTACCAATCGCGTTCACACCAGAGTACTTTTCCCTGAGGGAAGATGGCGGCTTCAAAAAACTTTTCAGAGTTTTACGGGGCGTGGTTTGCAATTCGCCCAGCCAATAGAAATTGGTACTTTTTTGGTACTTATTTGGTACCACCTCTCTAGCAGGCACTAAAAATGGGGGTAAAAGTTCCCGGCACTAAGTACTCTTTTTGGTGTGATCGCGACATCAGGGGTACTAACGGAACTAAACGGGGAAAGTACTCCGGTGTGAACGCGCCTATAGGTCATCGGTCGTCACCTGGAACTTTGAGGAACTAAAACTGATATACTTTCTGACATTTTATAGACCAAGCAACCTTTTGATCAATTGTCACCTTTTTTCTTTTGTACCACATCAAGAAAACATATTCTTCCCCCTTGTTGTGTTTCAGAAAAATCCCCAAATAACTTTATAGAATGATGTGAAAGAGTTCCCATGATGTCCCTGTAGCGCCACCTACTGGTAGAAGTGAGAAGATATCCCATCATTATATAAACCTGGAAGAAGACGAGAGGGAGAGATTGCGGTGTGAATGCTGAAATACTGAAATACTGCATTTCCCACCAGAGCAAGTTGAACCGGTGTTCACCTGGATATCTAATACTCGGATGGATCAATACTTCTGGGATTATGAGAGTTATGAAAGTCAGGAGTGATAGCCGCTGACTCTGATTCGATCTGAACAATGAGGAATCTGGGAGAAGAAGCAAATCACAGTTCTGCAGAAGTAGAACCAGCGATGTTGAGACCCCAAAGTTATAAATGTATTATAGGGTCTTCAGCTCGTAGAAACTGAGCTGCAGATGTTGGGACACTAGCACAGTTAATACAAGTTGTGTTAAGCAGCAGCGTATGTAAACCATAGTTATCAAATGTCTTGTCAGATTTGGACAGTTCTGGAGGGTTTCTAGACGTTATTGAGGAGTCCATTTCTGACATTTTCAGCATCAAGCTTGTCAGTATTAACCAAAAAGAGTCCACATCTGTTCTCTGTGTGCGCTGATTCTGATTTGACAGTTTGATGGGACTCAAAACTGCTATTTTGATCCTAAAACTGTCAGAAACAGACTCAGCATCCTCAACAGCCTCCTTAACCACTCAGAAAGTGTGTAACTACTGCCAATGTTTATGAACTCAACTCATACTAAGTGTGCTAATGTCCCAGCATCAACAGGTCAGTCTCTATGTTCTGGAGACCCTACTCTTCATCTCTATCAACACACTTTGGGGTCTCAGCGTGTTCGCTTCTCCGCTGACAGCTACTCATTACTCCACTCAAGTATAATCACTTTATGTTTGCTGTATTATCATTTTCATTTGTCTTTATTTGTACCCTGTGTGAACCACTCTGACCTGTTGCTGCGAACGCCTGAACTTCCCCACGGGGATAAATAAAGTTACATCTTACATCTCATCTCATCTCATCTCATCTCATTGTCTTACCTTATCTTACCTTATCTTACCTTATCTTACCTTATCTTACCTTATCTTACCTTATCTCACCTTATCTCACCTTATCTCATCTCATCTTGTTCTGACCCCTTCTCAGCCTCTCCCCCAAACCGCTCATTAGACTCATATAAAAGCGCTATCAAAATGTAATGTATTATTATGATGATATGTTGTGAGTGGAGAGAGGAGGAGGAGGACTCACTTCCTGCCGAAGATCCTGAGGCCGCCGGTGAAGGTCCTGCTGTGGGCGGCCGGGGGGGAGACAGCGCTGGGGGAGATGGAGGTGGAGGTTTTAGGCTCCTCTCCTCCATCCTGCTCCTCCTCGGGCTCCATGATGACCCTCAGAAACACACCATGCCCACAGGAAGTGGACTTTGCAGCAGTGTGTGTGTGTGTGTGTGTGTGTGTGTGTGTGTGTGTGTGTGTGTGTGTGTGTGTGTGTGAGTGTGTGTGAGGGTGTTTCTCTTCTTAACACTGCTTCCTCACTTCCTTCCTCCTCCTCCGAACCCTCCTCATGCAGCACATGCTCCAGAAACAAATCCAGGAAGTAGTTTCTTAAGAACACGAAGAGCTTCTTGTTCTGTCTCTGTCTCTCCTCTCTTCTCCTCTCTTCTCCTCTCTCCTCTCTTCTCCTCTCTTCTCCTCTCTCCTCTCTTCTCCTCTCTTCTCCTCTCCTGCTTCCTCTCTTCCTCTCGTGGTTCTGCTCTCTTCTCTCTTTCTACTTTTATTCCAGCTCTCTGCCTCTCCCTCTCTCTCCCCTCTAAGCACCGCCCCCCTCCCAGCTGTGCTGTGCTCTGATTGGCTGAGAGCGGAGAGGTGAGCTTTGCCACCTGCTGGAGCTGAGAGGCTGTACAGCTGCTTCTTCCTCTTCTTCACTCTAACCACAGGATGTTAAATATATAAATATACAGACATTAACATATTGAACACGAGAGCCTCTCACTTGGATCAGCTTTCTGAAGCACTACTCTGCGAAGTGCTCACTCCCACGTAGGGTTACATACAGATGGTTCAACCCACACTGAGAGTGTGTGTGTGTGTGTGTGTGTGTGTGTGTGTGTGTGTGTGTGTGTGTGTGTGTGTGTGTGTGTGTGTGTGTGTGTGTGTGTGTGTGTGTGAGTGGTTTGTTCACATATCATCCACAGCCTCATTTATCAAGTATATTATTACTAAAAACATACAGAAAATGCTTTTTTTTACAGCTGTTGAAAGTATGTTGATACCCAATTCTACGGTGGCCCACAGGTTCAAACACAACAAACCTCTTCCATCAGGAGAAACAGCTTCAGAAAGGAGTCAGATATAAAAACCCAAATGTTCCACATGAAGAAACATCTTCAGCAGCATGTGCAGCGTTTAGAGAACATTCAGCAGCTTCAGGAGACATGGCAGCGTTTACTGAAAGCTGCTGAAACTTGTTATACCTCAGTAATGAGGTGGGGAGGTTTCATGGTGTGTGTGTGTGTGTGTGTGTGTGTGTGTGTGTGTGTGTGTGTGTGTGTGTGTGTGTGTGTGTGTGTGTGTGTGTGTGTGTGTGTGTGTGTGAGAGAGGGGCACACGGTGCTCCATCCCCTGGGTTCCCGCTCTGAGGACTGAAGGTTATTTTTGACAGCCAATTAAACACGCTGAGATTGAGTCCTTTCTCTTAAAGATCCACACAAGACTTTAAAATATAAACAACATATATTTAAGGTCATTTAAAAAGTACTAAAATATGTCACTAAATACCCCTCTGGATATTAGCCTCCTTTAGCTTAGCGGTGGTGACGTGAAGTCATGTGACCGTGCTGTAGTTTCTTTATAGCCCAACATTAGCCTCCTTTAGCTTAGTGGTGGTGAAGTCATGTGACCGTGCTGTAGTTCCTCTATAGCCCAACATTAGCCACCTTTAGCTTAGCGGTGGTGAAGTCATGTGACCGTGCTGTAGTTCCTCTATAGCCCAACATTAGCCTCCTTTAGCTTAGCGGTGGTGAAGTCATGTGACCGTGCTGTAGTTCCTTTATAGCCCAACATTAGCCACCTTTAGCTTAGCGGTGGTGACGTGAAGTCATGTGACCGTGCTGTAGTTCCTTTATAGCCCAACATTAGCCACCTTTAGCTTAGCGGTGGTGACGTGAAGTCATGTGACCGTGCTGTAGTTCCTTTATAGCCCAACATTAGCCACCTTTAGCTTAGCGGTGGTGACGTGAAGTCATGTGACCGTGCTGTAGTTCCTTTATAGCCCAACATTAGCCGCCTTTAGCTTAGCGGTGGTGACGTGAAGTCATGTGACCGTGCTGTAGTTCCTCTATAGCCCAACATTAGCCACCTTTAGCTTAGCGGTGGTGAAGTCATGTGACCGTGCTGTAGTTCCTCTATAGCCCAACATTAGCCTCCTTTAGCTTAGCGGTGGTGAAGTCATGTGACCGTGCTGTAGTTCCTTTATAGCCCAACATTAGCCACCTTTAGCTTAGCGGTGGTGACGTGAAGTCATGTGACCGTGCTGTAGTTCCTTTATAGCCCAACATTAGCCACCTTTAGCTTAGCGGTGGTGACGTGAAGTCATGTGACCGTGCTGTAGTTCCTTTATAGCCCAACATTAGCCACCTTTAGCTTAGCGGTGGTGACGTGAAGTCATGTGACCGTGCTGTAGTTCCTTTATAGCCCAACATTAGCCACCTTTAGCTTAGCGGTGGTGACGTGAAGTCATGTGACCGTGCTGTAGTTCCTCTATAGCCCAACATTAGCCACCTTTAGCTTAGCGGTGGTGACGTGAAGTCATGTGACCGTGCTGTAGTTCCTTTATAGCCCAACATTAGCCGCCTTTAGCTTAGCGGTGGTGACGTGAAGTCATGTGACCGTGCTGTAGTTCCTCTATAGCCCAACATTAGCCACCTTTAGCTTAGCGGTGGTGACGTGAAGTCATGTGACCGTGCTGTAGTTCCTTTATAGCCCAACATTAGCCGCCTTTAGCTTAGCGGTGGTGACGTGAAGTCATGTGACCGTGCTGTAGTTCCTCTATAGCCCAACATTAGCCACCTTTAGCTTAGCGGTGGTGACGTGAAGTCATGTGACCGTGCTGTAGTTCCTTTATAGCCCAACATTAGCCACCTTTAGCTTAGCGGTGGTGACGTGAAGTCATGTGACCGTGCTGTAGTTCCTTTATAGCCCAACATTAGCCGCCTTTAGCTTAGCGGTGGTGACGTGAAGTCATGTGACCGTGCTGTAGTTCCTCTATAGCCCAACATTAGCCACCTTTAGCTTAGCGGTGGTGACGTGAAGTCATGTGACCGTGCTGTAGTTCCTTTATAGCCCAACATTAGCCTCCTTTAGCTTAGCGGTGGTGACGTGAAGTCATGTGACCGTGCTGTAGTTCCTTTATAGCCCAACATTAGCCACCTTTAGCTTAGCGGTGGAGACGTGAAGTCATGTGACCGTGCTGTAGTTCCTTTATAGCCCAACATTAGCCACCTTTAGCTTAGCGGTGGTGACGTGAAGTCATGTGACCGTGCTGTAGTTCCTTTATAGCCCAACATTAGCCACCTTTAGCTTAGCGGTGGTGACGTGAAGTCATGTGACCGTGCTGTAGTTCCTTTATAGCCCAACATTAGCCACCTTTAGCTTAGCGGTGGAGACGTGAAGTCCTAAAGTGGAGTTAATACGTGGAGATTATCCTGCAGAACTAAACGTGTAAGAATCATAAACGTTTGTTTGACACAGAGATTATTTTCTGACCTAACCCAAAATCAAATGGAGGAATCCCATTGGACCAGAGATTAGATTGAAGATAAGTGTAAAATGTTCAGTGTGAGTTTAAGTCCAGTTATCAAGAGAAGCTTTGAGCAGAGAGTTCTCTTCCAGCCAGAGGAGATACCTCCATGAAATACATGCCATGTTCTTAAAATATAACATAATAATACATTTAATTGAATGTATAGCACTCTTCTGGGTCTCTCAGGGCTGTTTTTACACTTCTATCTGTACGCTGACCCAGCTTCAGATGGATGTTCCTGCTCCTCAGTTATCTAACACTGCGGAGGCCAAACTCAAACGGATGCGTCGGCTCAGCCTCGAAAGCTTTTAACCTTTATTCCTCCGGAGAAAAGTGTTGAAACTGCAGCGTTTCAACCACACAGCCACTCTGCTCTCTGCAGCTGAGATACAGGAGTTTCACTGCATCCTCCAGTCAGTCCTCACACAGAGCTGAATCCAGATCAGATGCACGCTGAAGGCTCTTTGAGCAGCTCTCACTGATCCTGCTGTGATGTTACATGTCTGTTGTTTGTTTCTCATGAGTCTTGATGTTTGTCTGTTGATGTTACACATGGAGCTGCTGTGATGTTACACATGGAGCTGCTGTGATGTTACACATGGAGCTGCTGTGATGTTACACATGGAGCTGCTGTGATGTTACACATGGAGCTACTGTGATGTTACACATGGAGCTACTGTGATGTTACACATGGAGCTGCTGTGATGTTACACATGGAGCTGCTGGGATGTTACACATGGAGCTGCTGTGATATTACACATGGAGCTGCTGTGATGTTACACATGGAGCTGCTGGGATGTTACACATGGAGCTGCTGTGATGTTACACATGGAGCTACTGTGATGTTACACATGGAGCTGCTGTGATGTTACACATGGAGCTACTGTGATGTTACACATGGAGCTGCTGGGATGTTACACATGGAGCTGCTGTGATGTTACACATGGAGCTGCTGGGATGTTACACATGGAGCTGCTGTGATGTTACACATGGAGCTGCTGTGATGTTACACATGGAGCTGCTGGGATGTTACACATGGAGCTGCTGGGATGCAAGGATAATTTCAGACTTGATCTGACCAGTAAAGTATTATCCTATTGTATCGTATATTCTATACCTTTCCAAATCCAAAAGAGGTAGGTTTGCGCAAATGTGCACGCCCAAATGAGGTAATCAGAAGAAATGTAACCCCAGTAATTACATGTATAAATCATGTATTTAACATATATTGCATCATTTTATGCATTTTTCAGAAAAAGTGGTAGTTTGGTAAACAGTGACATCAGCGACATGTTTGGTCTGTAAAATGCCCGAAAAGTAAAAGAATGGGAGATAAATATCCCAAAGTCTCCACATGTTATTATATTTTGTGTTTCTGGTCCTCTTTCAGGTGAGACAGTGGAGATGAAGGATGTGTCAGGATGTAGAACTCTTGTGTGAACATTGGATAAAGCCAGGTTCATATTCTTGTTTCATGTTGTTGACATATTAGAGTCAAAGGTTTGCACAGAGCGATATATCTTTGTGTTGCGCAATAAATCAGAAAATACTACATTAAAAAAGTCATTTCCTGCATTTTTCTACTGATAAAGTGTGAAATAAATAATGTACAGGCTTTCAGATTGCTGTAGTATTATATTTTGTGTGTGTTTGTGGTCCTCTTTCAGTTGAGACACTGTAGGTGAAGGATGCTTCAGGAAAAGACCAAACACTGGATGTCTTTCAGTCGTCAACATGTGTTTTCGAGACACTGATATTAACGGGGAAACCCTGCAGGACTCTGTTCCCTTAAACTCATTTGGGAGTGATTACCCATCAGCCCCGGGGGTGCAGAGGAAAGGCAGCGCTACCCCCGGTCTGCACGTTGTTTCTCTTTCAGACACACAGAGGACTGTTAGTATGATGGGATCACAGACACGCTGCAAACCGTG